AGAGAAGCGCGCGCCCGCTTCCGCTCCGCCTCCGTCCGGGGGCGCGGGCGCGGTGGCCCCGGCGGAGGATCGCAGGGGGCAGGGCCAAGACAGCGAGGAGGGGCACCGGGGGAAGCGGGAGCGATAAAAGAAGGCAAGGCTGCCCCACCCCGAGGCAGGCCGGTGGGCAGTCTCTTGCGTCCCTTCCGTCCGGCCTGTGTTGGAGGCGGCGGGGAGGCGCGCGGCCCGCTGCCGGCCCATGGAGGCTTTCCCTTGGGCGCCACGCTCGCCCCGCCGCGCCCGCGCCCCCGCGCCTATGGCGCTCGTGCCCAGCGCCCGCTACATGAGTGCCCCGGGCCCGGTGCACCCGCAGCCCTTCAGCTCTTGGAACGACTACCTGGGTCTCGCCACGCTCATCACCAGGGCTGGAGACCGGGGCTCCCCGCCCTCCTCGTCCCACTGCTCCTCGCACGAAAGGTCCGGGCCCTTGGCGGCAGGACCCACGCTGGGGCCGCCCGACGACGAGGAGGACGACGATGGCGATGAGCAGGGGACCCGAGACGGCTACCTGGGGGGAGCGCTGGAACTGCGCGCACTAGAGCTGTGCGCCGGCACCGCCGAGGCCGGGCTGCTGGAGGAGCGCTTCGCTGAGCTGAACCCATTCACAGGGCGCGCCGCCGCGGTACTGCTGAGCTGCGCGCCCGCCGCCTCCGCCGCCCCCACGGCCGAGGTGACGCCGCGTGAGGAGCCAGGCCCTGCGTGGGCGGCAGAGCATCGTCTGCACGCGGCCTCCGGAGCGGCTGCCGCGCGTCTGCTGAAACCGGAGCTGCAGGTGTGTGTGTTCTGCCGGAACAACAAGGAGGCGGTGGCGCTGTACACTACACACATCCTCAAGGGTCCCGACGGCCGAGTGCTGTGCCCGGTCCTGCGCCGCTACACGTGTCCCCTTTGCGGTGCCAGCGGCGACAACGCACACACCATCAAGTATTGCCCGCTCTCCAAAGTGCCACCGCCCGCTGCTCGCCCGCCGCCGCGCAGCACAAGGGACAGCCTGCCCAGCAAGAAGCTACGCTAGGGCTGAGCTGCGGACACCTGAAGCCATGGTAGCGCCTCCTTTCCCCTTTGGCTCAACTTAGGAAGTAGTCTTGGTTTTGCGGGAGCCGGCGGGGCGCAGCACTTTGCAGTGGAGTGGTCTGGTCTCTGACGTTGAAATCTTGAATTTTGTCTCTATAGTTTCTAAAGCACTCAACCAGAATCGTTGAGGGCTGAGCGGGTATAACACGGGCTCTAAGTGTGGCAACTGAAGCGTTGTTTACTGTATACGTTGACCTATTTTAGGTGCGCATCAGTATGAAACTGTCTCTGACTTTGGATGTTGCGTTTTGTGAATGGAGGCATTTTAATAGCTCTAGAGTATTTTTAATAGCCTCTGAACTTGTGTGCAAAACTAACCATTTTATGGAATGTCGGCAAATGTCTATTTTATTGTTTGATGCAATTTATTAATTTTTTAAGTTTGTCCTTAACTCTAATTGCAGGTAAACAATTTAGTACACTTCCCAGTATCAATTTGAGAGGATGTTCCTCCTCGTAGCTTGTTTCTGTCCTAGCTGGGAGGCTTAAAGGCACAATCTTTAGCAGGTGGAATAGTTCCTTAACCTTTTATGTATGATATTCTACTGAATTAGCAAGTAGCCCTTCCCACCCTCTTAAAATTAACTGTGCCAAGTCCTAATCATATCGTGTACATATTTGGAAATGGTGCTGTTTAAGAAGACTTGTGTATTTATACAGTGACAGTATATGAATACATTAATCTCCCCCTGTAAACTCCTACCTAGCATCTTCTCAATGCACCATCCCCAGACCTGTCCAATTGTCTGATGCTGAGATCCAAGAGAGCAGTGTTAACTCACCTTGATTGCTCAATTTCAACTTCTTAAATAGAAAACAGGAAACTATGAAGCAATAACCTGAGTTCCAGAAGGTTCTACTCTGGGCTGTCTGCCTTCAGATATACAGGTGTGCCAGAATAAACACCATTTAAAGGCTCCAATACCTGGGGTTGGGTACAAGTATTATGACCTCCCTGGTGGTGGTTCCACTCTTAACTGGTCTGCTTCCAGAACCTAATCTTCAGGGAAAATTTCCTAACCCCTTACTTCCAGTACTCCAGTAAATCCATCACATTGAATGCTGGACTATGGACATTGAATGATGGGACTATACCATCAAGACAGTAGATGCAGAGATGGAGGTGGATTAAGATAAACTAAGACATAACACTAAACAACATTACCTGAAAATACCAGCCAAGAGTTTATGTATATAAAACTTAACAGTAGTCAGATTTAGCTAGAGTACTGGGAACAGCTAACTTCCACAATAAATGTAAAAATACTGGATAGCTCTGTGCCCTATTGGTAAAACGGAGGTGCATCATATAAAAAGATGGGGTTGGTGGAAAGACGTTCTTAACAAGAAAATAACCATTATAGCCCCACAGAATTGGCAGATTCCACTTGACCTGGGTCGCAAACTTAATAAAACCATGTAGTTCCTTGTTCTTTTGCTAGAAAATAAACCATTTGTTTTGGGGTGATGTTTTTCAAGTGAACATAAATTCACATTCTCTCCACTAACTGGTCATGTTTTCCAAGAAATGAGCATTCTCAAAGGGCAAACTCAAGTCATTCAGCTCTTTGAATTGTGGTAGTTCCACCAGATACATTCCAAGGCATGTATGTAGTGCCAGTACATGTGACTACATGAGCGGAACCACTGATGACACATACCTAATGCCAATTTTTATTTTCTGACATCTTACTAGAAATAGGGATGTTGAGTTTGCACCCTTGTTCAATGGTGTTAAGAGGGGTCCGGAAAATGTCTTCACATTAGGTAGCTCTTATATTAACAGATGGGTATATAGGTACCAGTAGTGTTTCTAAGCACAAAGACCCGAGTTCAATCCCTAGCACCCACATTAAAATATGGGAATGGTGGTATGCTTATAATCCCAGTGCTGGTGAGGCAGAGGCCAGCCTTGCTAAATGAAAAACCCTACCTCCTAAGTTAGGTGGGCTCATGAAGACTATCATCTGAGGCTGACCTCCATTCACATACATAGACATTTCAGCTGCAGTTTTGGGTAAGTTTTAAGTCAAAGGTAGCTATGGCCTCAACCACAGGGGAGACAAAGAAGCCCTGCCTGGGGCTCACTGGTCAGGTAGTCTAACTCCAGGTTTGGAGAACTCCAGATTCAAAGAAATATCTTGTTTACACACATGCACGCACACACGCACAAGGGAGCTAACAAATACTGAAAGTCTACAATATAAGCAAAAAATATTATTGGTTTTCTAGAGTTCTAGAAGAAATAAACTTAGCCCCTCCTGCCACACAAAAAAACTTTGGAGCCAGGCATTGTGATGTGCGCCTTTAATCCTAGCACTCCTAAGGCAGAGAGAGGCTAAGTAATCCTTGGAATGAGATACAACACTTTTATTTCACCCAGAATGAGAGTCTGCAAAAAATGTTTACAGTAAACTCAAGTTTAGGGCCAGGGATATAATGTACCTCAATGGTAGAGTACTTGCCTAGAATGCAAAAAACACTAGGATCAATACCCATTAAGGAAGAAAATGAAACTTAAATCCCAAAGTTTAATGCAAAACTGTGACAAGGTTGGCTTCTAAGAATGCACTGTGTAGCTGGCTAAACCACAAAAGGCACAGCCCTGTCAGCTTCTCCATGGGTAGAGGGACAGGCTGTACTATGCTATAGCCTGTCCAAACTTGTTATTCTAATGGCTTTTACTTTTTTTGTATTTTTCCTACAAAGTCCTTTTCAGAAGTTAAATAGCTTTGATTAGAACTTTTGTCAGATATATTAAACCAAAACTATTTAAAAATCATCAGAAATGTATTTCAGGTTAATTTTGTTGTCTAAGCCTCAGGGTAGGAACATTCCCTCCAGAGAAGTTTTTGAGAATGGGTCTCACCAGCCAAAGCTGACCTGGAAAATTCAGTATTCTTCTGCATTACCCAACAAAGTTCTGAGATAAATGCCATGTGGTACTGGTGGTTCTTGACTATATCCCACACATAGGTGTTCAAACCCCTTCCTGGTTGGCACTCTATGGACAAGTGTGACATAGATCTGAGGGTCCTCTCTATCTTTCAAGTACAGCTATAGAAGCTATATGGTTCCATTGTTTACAACTGCAGAAGTCACGGGGCTCACCTGGAGATTCCCTTTAACCTGTTAAATGTATTGGGGGTGTGTGTGCTGTGATAGTGGGATCCCATGAGCTAGACCACTAAGCAACATTATCAGATACTTCTGCCCCTATACTGTTCTCTCAGTTTTCTCCTAGAACAAAAACAAAACCACTGCAGAAAATGTCTGGAAACCTTGAAACCTGCCCCCCACACACACCATGTGCATTCAGCTATACATAGCTGATTAAAAGAATCACTTGCTGGGGATTATCTGTGGCATCACATTAGTGTTTGGCTCACTAGTAAATGCATACATAGCAGGTTACTGCCTAAATATAACCAATGGTCTGTAAGTACTTTACTTGTTATGATTAAATAATCCCTTCCATGTTTGAAATTCCAGTCCTTGGTAACACCATACAAAAGCATCCGATTAAGTAGAAAGTACTCCCTCTTCTGGCCTGACAGCTATTTTAACAGTAGAAATTTTAAACCACTACCATAGTAATTTATAAAGCCTATAACCACTAAAAGTTTGTCACTAAAGTCTCCTACAACTCTGTTGTTGGTTTTTTATTTGTTTTTCCTTTTGCTTAATTCCAGATGAAACCCAAGGTGGTAACTTGACAGTTTCCATGAATAACAAGGGTACTTCACAAACTTGCAAGCTGCTACCATTTGCTTTTTGTGTTACTGTTAATGATAAACTTTTTTTTTTTTTTTTTTTTTGGTTTTT